CTCAGTCCAAAAAAAAAAACGTTTTTTCCCGGTTCCCCCCCCCCCCCAAAAAATTCCCCAGTTTTCAATTTACAGGGTTTTTTTTTGCTTTGGAGAGAAAAGCGGCAAAGCTGGCCAAGGAAGGGGTGGGGCTTCACATTTCTTAGAAGCTACTTGGTATACAGACCACTTGTTGGGAAGGAGGGCAGGCACCTCTATATAATGTCACAGATAGCTAAGGGCCTAATGGTGAATACAAGTTTTGCCTTAGTACCAAGACTTACTTTAATCTTACCACTGTACCTAATACGGAAATTGAACCCTGTAAAATATAATTTATTAATATGTAAAAGGTTCTCTTCCCTATATTTTGAATAACATTATTAATCAATTTAAACAGATAGAAATTTTGCACATACAAGGATCCCTCTAAGGTGTGGGGCTGTGTGCACATGGCCCTCTGCCTCCCTCCGTGCTGCTTTCCTCCTCCTCTGCACAGCCCCTTTGGTTCTGGTCGCAATGGAACCCAGCATGTGTGGGGTGTGTGTGCGGAGTTGTACACGCACGGAAAGGAAGAGGCATGTGAGAGAGAGGCAGAGCCCTTCCCAGCAGGGCTGAAAATGAGATTTCACCTTTCATCAGTTAGTCAAATATTATCCATATCTCTTATGGCATTATTAACCTACAGCTGATTTACATCTTAAAGTATACCTTTAAATCCTTAATTTCTAATATTATATTCATACATATTTCAGATTACACTATTAATAATTCTTAATTGTCATTTATCTTCAAACATAATCAGACTCATTTTATTGTTATATTCATCAATTGTCCTTTCCCCTTTTATTTATAACATTCTAAACCTAAATTAGAATTGGCTCCTTTATAAATCTGAAATTAGATTGGCTCCTTTTTCCTAGTTTTAAAATGCCATCTATGGAACCCAGTTAAACTGTTTTCTCTCTGATTTGATGGATTTTTCCCAATCATCATGTTCTCCGTTTGAAGCCAAGTAATGTCTAATTTGTAATCATCTAGTTTCCCTTTCAGCCCCACCTTTTTGCTTCCTTGCTTTGCATAATCACCCATCAAATTAAGACACCTCTCTTTTTCATCCACCTGAACCTCTTTCTCACAATAAAAGTCAATTTCCCTAATCTCCTTTTTGAAGATTTCACCCTTCTTTGTCGCTCTTCCTTGTGCTGCTAAAGCGAGCTGATCTGTTTGTGTTTCAGTCTGCTGTTCTGACGAAAGATTCCAATGCTCTGTCTAAATCCCCAATTCTCTGTCTTTTCCTTCATCTCTGAAAGCGCAGTCTGGAGTTCAGAAAACTGCATTTTAAGACAGTTCATAATGTTAATTTGCATATTCTGAAAGGCATTTATAATTTCTTCGGTTGAATCCATCATTGTTGAAAGGTAGATAGGCAAAGATGCTTTCTAATCTCTAATTTCAAGATATGCAGCTCATTTGAAGAGATACAGCTTGCTTCTTCCGACCGAAGAGCCATAAAGTACTTAAGTAGTAAAAGTTGAAACCTCAGCAGAGCTAATGATTTATAGTATCCCAGACTCCAGCTTTCACCAAATAGTTTGGATTGTAAATTGTAGATTCAGTCATAATAAAACTTCCATTAAGTTAGAATCCACCTCTGGCAGCAACTCATCTCCTTAAACCTCTTTTTTATTATTACTTTTATAAAAGTTTATAAGAAAAACTGTGAGCTGTTCCCATCGAGGACAGGGGATACGAGGCAAAAGTTTATGTTTTGTCTCTGTCCTTGTCAGTTCCAGTTTCTGTTATTCAGGCGTGACGCAGTAATGGAATGCCGATCCGTCTGGGTTTAGTGCTTGTTTGCTGCTTCTAAGATTACACAGTCTTCTTTGAAATCAGCCACTTAAGTTTATTTTGTACTTACAAAGGCGATGTTGAGACCAGTTAGTCCTTGTTGATGCAGTCATTCATAAATCTTCATGCGTCCCTCCGCGGAGCTTTACAGCTAGGACGACATTAGAAAATGGCGTCGGACGGGATCCTTTGTCTGGAGAAGGAATAATCTGAGAGGTGGTTGTTTCCCACCCCCCAGAAATTTTCCGCTCTCCTGCGACACAGGGGGGTTTCTCCTATCCCTCCCTGCTCTCCAATTCCTTGAGGAGAGTCTGGATCCACGACATGCAGCAGAAATCTGGAGAGCCCAGATTCCTTGCTGCCTTTGTTGTTTGTAGCTCCGCTCCTGAGGACTCCTGAGGACTTTGGTGCAGGCCCTGGTCACCTCCCAGCTCAAAACTACTGCAATGCTCTCTGTGTGGGACTCCTCTTGAACCTGATCCAGAGACTTCAGTGGGTCCAGAATGCAGCAGCCAGACTGTTGCTTGGTGCAAGTAACTTTGACCACATCATTCTGGTTCTGGCTCACCCCCATTGGTTCTCCATGGTATCCTGGACTTATGGCACTCACATACAAAGCCGTCCATAGTTTGGGCCCATGTTACTTGTCGGAGCATCCCTCCTTAATGTCATCTGCCCAACACACAAGATCATCCCAGTCAAGTCTCCTCCTGGTGGCCACCCCGAGTGAGACTCATAAATCCTCTACAAGTGGTACGGTGTTCTTTGCGGTGGCTCCAACTTTTATGGAACCAGCTTCCAGAGGAACTCTACCTAGACCTCTTCCTATGGACTTTTAGGAAGCAATTAAAGACATTGCTTTTCAGGGAGGCTTTCACACCCCAGCTGATCACCTTCCTTTACTTTCTCTTTTCCCTCTTCCTCTTCCCTCCCTCCCTTTCTGCATATTGTTTGCAATTGCTGCTGAGCCCTTGACAAATATAATCAAACTAAGCTCTAGGCTGCTATTAATAATGGAGTCTATCATTTTAATATATAGTATGTGGATGATATACTCGTTGAGATTGTTATGTGTGAATATACTATTGCTGATTCAACATAAATTATGTGAACTAAGAGGAACAAAAGTATGCTTCTACAGCCTCACCCATTTAGAAATAAACACCATCAAAAGCACAACCCAAATCCTGTGTTAAAATTATACAACGACCAAAATCCTGTTTTTAGTATAGTAAATTACACTAGAATAAGCATATTGAATCAATAGGGATTTAGTGAATCAACTCCTCTGTAAGCTTCCTTAGAAAGTTTTTGGTATCTCTTATGTAGCTAGGTGTACTGGTGGCATATGGTTTGAGAATGGAGTCTGTGTATCCAGACACCCCAACTGTGACAATGTTGATGCTAGGTAAAATGGGTGTTTCCTGGTTTATTTATTTACAATATTTTTTATTTATTTACAATATTTTTTAGCCGCACCATTGCCAGTGGCTTCTGTGTTTATGTGTTTTAGGTACCAGTAGTAGGTAGAAGGTGGCTAGTTCAGGTTCTTGTGGTATATTGGTCAAGATTTGTTGCCCTATGTTATCAGGGATGCCTTTCATAAGATTTTGTAATTCCTTTCATTATTTAGTACAGTGGTGCCTCGCTTAACGAGCGCACCGCATAACGACGAAATCGCATAGCGATCAGTTTTTTCGGATCGCTGATGCGATCGCTTAACGTTTTTCTAATAGGGGAAAATTCGCTTTGCGAAGACCGGTAAGCGTTTTGCTTACCGATCTTCGCAAAACGAAGCCCGACGATCAGCTGGTA